AAGTTTGAAAAGGAAATAAAATTGAGACAATGTTTAACACTTGGCACGGGAACTTCAACATTCATCTTTATTTTAAAGTAAATGATTTTCAAATAAATGTATAAAATAAATCATTTGGCACAACTAGGAACATTTCTGTCAGTGTTGATTTGTCTGTTTTAACATGGATGATGAGCAAAACGCTATATTATATAATGTAATAGCGAAGTATAAAAAGCCACACTATTAAAAAAAATCATGTGTCCATGCTTTGGCTTTCTGTGTGTTACTGAATGTCATATGCTTCTGTTTTCTCCTGCAGTTGTTGTCAGCAGCAAGTCTGTTCCAGCTGGGGGCGCTACAAAGACACTGTGAACTCATCTGCTCTCATCACATCAGCCTGGATAATGCAGTCAGCATCTACAAGACAGCCAAGGTAACACACACACTGAGAAGCAATATATATGTACTTTTATGCAAAGAAGTATAGAAAACTTGATTATATAGTAGAGCTGTGTTCTGTTTGCCTCAGTAACTAAGGTAACTGAAAGAGAGAGTTTATGTGAAAATGCATCCTCAGCATCATAATTGAGAGGATTTTAGACATGAAGTTATATGATGTTACACCATCATTTTTTTTATGCGCCAACAAAACATGACCATTACATTGTCCTCTCTCCCTCCCTCCCTCTTCAGGCTCACGGTTCGTTGGAGCTAAGCTCATTCTGTGAAGGGTACTTCTTACAGCAGATGCCTGCTCTGCTGGAGAGAGAGGGCTTCAGGACCCTGCTGTTGGGACCCCCCGCGGCCCGACAAGGGAACAATTCCACTTCTACGCTGGTTCACAGCCGGGGAGACTCACCTCTGGAGGAGCTGGAGGCCACCCTGGCTCAACGACTACGCTCTCTCTACGTCACTTCCCGAGTCTGAGGACAACAGGACGGATGCTGAGAAGAGAGAGGACAGAAATAAGTGGAACTATGTGGCAGCGTTAGAGCGGAAGTTTCCTTTTATCACTGATACAGGATCAGATCTTTAGAGAGATGTCTAAATGGTTGGAGTACAGATGTTTTCTTAGTAACATCTGATTCTGGCTCTGGTAACAAGCAACGTCCACAGTACTTTGACACTGGGACACAGATCAGTGAAATATTTGGCAGCAGTTAGATTTTGCTTGGTGGACAATTCAGTGTCTTTTTTCTGCCAACCACTCCATCTTGACATTTCTTGCAGTGTACAGCATGTTTATGAAGAAGAAAACTGGACAATGTGATGCTTTTCTCCAAGGCTCGGGAAGCTTAACTGGAGAAGCAACAGATGGATGCAACAGGTGGCAACTTTGAATCATGAAACACTGCTGCCCTCTAATGGACAAAACTGGCAAAATCAATAGTTGCCTTGGAGGATTGGGATCAGTGGCACCCTCCTGGTTCTGACTGAAGCTATGTAAAGTGTTAATAGACTGAAGCATCTATAAAAGAATCAAGTGAGGCAGCCATGCTGGACTTTTGGCTTTGTCCCATTTTAACTAATAATGCAGAGTGGGAGGAAGGAGGTGGACTCAGTGCCTCCAGCATTGATGGAAGCTCTGGATTAACAAATGTACTTTTTATGTAACTTCATGTTTTTATTTTCTATTTTAAAAAAAAAAAAAAAAAAAAAGTACAACCGGAGAAACACAACACTTACTGAAGAGTGGGATAGACATTTTCTATTTAATGAGAAAAAAAAAAAAGATGTGAGAGTATTTAACGGGGTGTTCCCTTTTATTTTGTTTGTAATCCAAGCAAATTATTAATATTATTGTTTAAAAGAAGTTGCTTTTGTGTAACTGTTGTTCTTCCAGGTACACTCTAACAGTTAATTAAGCTTATGTATGCTGAGGTTTAATGCTTTTACACAGGTAAAGCACCCGAATCCAACATGGGATTTGGACTCCATAAGGTCTGTTTCAATGCTAATTATTGTAATAAACCTGGTTAACAAACCTTCCAAACCATTCCATTGCCATCTGGTTGTGAATTAGTAAAGACTCACCTGAAATGAGGAAAACATCAGACTTGCAATTGCACAAACCTACAACATGGAAGTCATTACATGTGCAATAAATGAGTAAATAAAATACATCATTACAGGAATTGCTGGGATGGTGAAGTAATGCACTACATTAATCTTATGTGCTATAAAGTCATGACAGCTTTACAACTCTGAGTAATTCCTTTAAGGTCTGCACTTACCCATACATGTAGAAAAAGGAAAAACAAACACACCATAACTGAATGAGTTTATTTGTTTCAGCACTGAAGATGCTCACAGTTATGTTATATGGGGATTACATCAGTAAGTTTTGTTCCTGCTCTGTCAAAAGGCCACTCTGGACCTCAGAATCATTGGATGTCCTTAGTGCTGCTAGCTTCCCATTGTAGAAAACAGAAAGGAGGGTGAACAATAGGGTATTGCTTTGTGTTTGTAGTACTGATATCCACTCCCTGTGCCTCTTCTACTTACAGGTAGAGAGAGCTCAGACCTCTGAGCCTTCCAGAGAGAGGTACAGAGTAAAGGAAGCATCGTTCAAAAACTTTGTGCACAAGATAAGAGGAGGAGGAGGAGGAGGAGGAGGAAGGTAAAGAACAGCGGGAGCAAGGGGACAATAAGAAAAAAAACAAAACAAAACGAAGGCCAGATATAAAAGCAGAGAGGGTGAAAAGTAAGGGACAGAGGGGGGAATTTAAAACATTAAAAAGTAGTTTTGTGGAGAGAGAATCAATGAAGGCTGAGAGAAGGAGTGAGTTTTGGCATGGGACATTAACACTAAAGCCATGCAAAGAAAAGCTCATGTTTGACATGCACACAGCAATACAAGCTAAAAGCATAGAGCAGGAATCCCCAGCATGGTTGAGAAGACAATCAACCCCCAAGGTTTGTCTGTCTATTTACAAAGAGAAGAAGTAGACTGGGATCTGTGGTGTCCTTCTCCTCAGGCCTGGCCTACACGCACAATAATATGAAACTGACAAATATTGATAGAAGAGCATATTCCCTCTCCAAAAAGAGGCTAAGTCTACATTCTTAAATTACTGGTAAATCATTTTTTTCCAAGAGTTCCCACAAGTTCTCTTTCCCTCTTCAGAGAGGTCAGGGAAAGGAGAATTTGTGACTTTGTCAATGTTCACATAATTCTGTTAAAGTCGGACCAAAACAAAAGAAAAGAGTCTGTTTTTTCTTCAAATGTTGCCCCATTTACGAACACACAAGAGGGTAATAAATAACATTCAACTGACCTAACAGCTTTGTTCATATAAATAGCCAAGTAATAATAAATTAGGAATCCAAACAGAGAGATGAACAAACATGAATAAATAAGGACAAAAATACAAAAATATCCACAATTGCATTTATCATGTCATCATTTTTTTTGTTCCTCTACTCCTACTGCTGGTAAGTGAGACTAAGAGAGAGGTATGAATGGAAAACCAAAGACAAAGTGCTGCAGATAACAGGGACCAGGAATGTTTGGATCAGTATTAGGTCAATCAAACAAAGACAGAAATGATGATGTAACAAAAATACACAGAAGAATTTAAAATAACAGTATGTGGCAGGTGCAGGTTTACCAACCTGTCCCTATGGTATCTAAACATAGTGTCACCACTAGACATTTCATTTTTTTTTACATAAGAAATGATATCAGTCTGTACAACAGAATAGATCATTCATTTTAAATACCCACATACCCACCCACGTCCCTCCCCCCAACCCTATACTATCATATCATATCATATCTCCCCCACTGCCCCTGCCCTGTTCTGCTCACACCCCGCTCCTCTCTGAAATCACAATTCCAGTCCGTTTGCAGCAATAGTATTAAGTCTAATAAAGTCAGTTAGTATTTTAAACCCAGTTCTTCACAAAGAAAGTACATTAAAAAGCAAACAAATACAATCCAGCAAGCATCCGCGTCGGCTGTTTGGGCTTTCCACAAAACTCCTCCCCCTTCTCTCCTCCTCTGAATCAGTCAGTTTTTTCTGCATGTCTTCTTTTTGTTGTTGTGGTTGCTGTTGTTGTTGTTGTTGTTGTTCATGTTCTTGTTAATCCATCCCAGAGTTTTTTATGCATACTAAACCTGTGCATGTATGCATGTATATATATTTTCTGTTTGTATGTGTTGTCTTGTAAAATGCTTGTTTTCCAATTAATCAGTGCATCTTGAGCTCGAAAAGAGAGGAAAAAGGGAGCCGGTTGGAGAGGGGAGTGTGCGTTCTTGTTACATAAAGATGTGTGTAGATGAGTTGTGCACATGTGTGTGTTTGTGTGTTTCTAACATGAGTGGGGAACACTAAAGGTATTTTCAACGACTACTGATGGCTGCCAGAGGTGTAGAAGGGGTGCAGAGGGAGATGAAAGTAGAAGTCTGCGTGAAGGGTCTGTTTCCATGGTAACTCCCCACCACCATCCTTTTCTGAGCGCACCTCTAAAAGCAGTCCTCCGTCAACAAATGTCCGTCTCTCTCGGCAAGCTCGGGGGGGCGGTTGGTGGTGGTGCTGGTGGTGCTGGTGGTAGTGGTGGTGGCGGCGGAGGGGTGGTGGTGGAGGGAGGGCGAACGGAGCAGGGAGCAGGAGGAGGGGCTTAATAGGTTTTCTGGATAATTCCTGGTATCAGAAACAAGTCAGGTCATCACACAGATTAGCAGCAAGGGAGCAAAAAACAGAGCAAGGGCCACAGGCGATTCGACTGGTGGGGTGGAGGGGTGAATGATAATGGTGAACACTGAGTGGGTGATGAAAAGGAGAATGGAAGAACAGGAGTGTGTTTGTCATGTAGGTGCAGTATGCTGTTTGTAAAATATCACTTTGATTCTCTCAATATATTTCTATCTATATAAAGTCATTTTATACAAAAAGAAAGGTTCATAAATGATTATATACATCTAGCTATGTACAGATAGAATATTCTCTCTGTGCCGCTGGCTTAAAGTGATACTGGGATGGGTTAGCACTGGCTCGACTACACAGTGTCTCAGTTTAAGACTCCTCCTGTGTCCCCACAGACGCCACCGACAACTTGGCTCTGTCTCGGCCCGCAGCAGGGCATTTGGTGTCATTATTTTCTGGCTCGTGCCTCCTGGCGTGCATGGGCGAGGGGCAGTGCTTGGAGGGCGTGCCAGAGGGGAAGGGCACCTGTCCGTTCTTCTCGTCTGAAAAAAGTTGTTTAATTACGTCAAAGAAGTTACTCAATGGGCTGCCTAGGTACACAGACGGGAAGAGAAGGGGACAAAAAAAGGGAAGAGAGAAGAAAGAGAACAAACAAACTAATAAACAATGGGGTTCACAGGATAAAGACACGGCTGCAGGTAAGACAGAGCAAGCAGTGGCGAGGAGGAGGAGGAAGACCAAACAGACACAGCGAGGATGAGAACTGCTGGAGCAGCCACGATGGGACAGTGTAATGTTTGAGCTCCCATAAAACATGCATTTCTTATAGCACAACCGATGAAAACACACAAGTAGCCATTCCATCAAAAACGAGTAATGATAGCAAATACAGTGCAGCAGATAAGCTTGCATGTGGAAGGTATTGTGCATTTTATGACTAAAGCATGAAACATTCTCCAGTGTTTCTATAAATACTGCATTACTATACTATGGCCTTTTATGCCTTACTATACTACGATGGTTTTTTTACATTTACTGTATTATGACATTTTTATGCCTTACTATAATATGAAGGGATAATATGGCGTTTTATGCCTTACTATACTCTGATGTTTTCTTGAAGTTTTATACGTTACTATACTATGATGTTTTATGTCTTACTATACTATGACATTTTAGGCCTTACTATACTATGACATTTTTATAATGTTTTATACCTAACTATACCATGACATTTTTTTAAATTTTATGCCTTACTATACTATGACATTTTATGCCTTACTATACCTCTCATGTTTTTATTACATTTTATGCCTTACTATACTATGACTTTTTTTCGAAATTTTTATGCCTTACTATACTATGACATTTTATAACTTACTATACTATGAAATTTCATGCCTTACTATACTATGACGTTTTATGCCTTACTATACTATCAAATTTCATGCCTAACTATACTATGACGTTTTTAAGACATTTTATGCCTTACTATACTATGACTTTTTTTCGAAATTTTTATGCCTTACTATACTATGACGTTTTATGCCTTACTATACTATCAAATTTCATGCCTAACTATACTATGACGTTTTTAAGACCTTTTATGCCTTACTATACTATCACATTTTTATGACGTTTTATGCCTTACTATACTGTGACAATTTTGGAAATTTTTATGCCTTACTGTACTATGACTTTTTTTTTTTTAATTTTTATGCCTTACTATACTATGACATTTTATGCCTTACTATACTATGAAATTTCATGCCTTACTATACTATGACATTTCATGCCTAACTATACTATAACGTTTTTCGAAATTTTTATGCCTTACTATACTATGACGTTTTATGCCTTACTATACTATGAAATTTCATGCCTAACTGTACTATGACGTTTTTCGAAATTTTTATTCCTTACTATACTATGACATTTTGATGACGTTTTATGCTTTACTATACTGTGACATTTTTAGAAATTTTTATGCCTTACTATACTATGACGTTTTATGCCTTACTATACTATGAAATTTCATGCCTAACTGTACTATGACGTTTTTCGAAATTTTTATCCCTTACTATACTATGACATTTTGATGACGTTTTATGCTTTACTATACTGTGACATTTTTAGAAATTTTTATGCCTTACTATACTATGACGTTTTATGCCTTACTATACTATGAAATTTCATGCCTAACTGTACTATGACGTTTTTCGAAATTTTTATCCCTTACTATACTATGACATTTTGATGACGTTTTATGCTTTACTATACTGTGACATTTTTAGAAATTTTTATGCCTTACTATACTATGACGTTTTATGCCTTACTATACTATGAAATTTCATGCCTAACTGTACTATGACGTTTTTCGAAATTTTTATCCCTTACTATACTATGACATTTTGATGACGTTTTATGCTTTACTATACTGTGACATTTTTAGAAATTTTTATGCCTTACTATACTATGACGTTTTATGCCTTACTATACTATGAAATTTCATGCCTAACTGTACTATGACGTTTTTCGAAATTTTTATCCCTTACTATACTATGACATTTTGATGACGTTTTATGCTTTACTATACTGTGACATTTTTAGAAATTTTTATGCCTTACTATACTATGACGTTTTATGCCTTACTATACTATGAAATTTCATGCCTAACTGTACTATGACGTTTTTCGAAATTTTTATGCCTTACTATACTATGACTTTTTTTTTGAAATTTTTATGCCTTGCTATACTGTGACTTTCTTTCGAAATTTTATGTCTTACTATACTATGAAATTTCATGCCTTACTATACTATGACGTTTCATGACTAACTATACTATGACATTTTTCGAAATTTTTATGCCTTACTATACTATAACGTTTTATGCCTTACTATACTATGAAATTTCATGCCTAACTATACTATGACATTTTTCGAAATTTTTATGCCTTACTATACTATGACGTTTTATGCCTTACTATACTATGAAATTTCATGCCTAACTATACTATGACATTTTTCGAAATTTTTATGCCTTACTATACTATGACGTTTTATGCCTTACTATACTATGAAATTTCATGCCTAACTATACTATGACATTTTTCGAAATTTTTATGCCTTACTATACTATGACGTTTTATGCCTTACTATACTATGAAATTTCATGCCTAACTATACTATGACATTTTTCGAAATTTTTATGCCTTACTATACTATGACGTTTTATGCCTTACTATACTATGAAATTTCATGCCTAACTATACTATGACATTTTTCGAAATTTTTATGCCTTACTATACTATGACGTTTTATGCCTTACTATACTATGAAATTTCATGCCTAACTATACTATGACGTTTTTCGAAATTTTTATGGCTTACTATACTATGACGTTTTATGCCTTACTATACTATCACATTTTTATGACGTTTTATGCCTTACTATACTGTGACATTTTTTGAAATTTTTATGCCTTGCTATACTATGACTTTTTTTTTGAAATTTTTATGCTTTACTATACTATGACCTTTTTTCGAAATTTTTATGCCTTACTATACTATGACGTTTTATGCCTTACTATACTATGAAATTTCATGCCTAACTATACTATGACGTTTTTCGAAATTTTTATGCCTTACTACTGTATACTATGACGTTTTATGCCTTACAATACTATGAAATTTCATGCCTAACTATACTATGACGTTTTTCGAAATTTTTATGCCTTACTACTGTATACTATGACGTTTTATGCCTTACAATACTATGAAATTTCATGCCTAACTATACTATGACGTTTTTCGAAATTTTTATGCCTTACTACTGTATACTATGACGTTTTATGCCTTACAATACTATGAAATTTCATGCCTAACTATACTATGACGTTTTTCGAAATTTTTATGCCTTACTACTGTATACTATGACGTTTTATGCCTTACAATACTATGAAATTTCATGCCTAACTATACTATGACGTTTTTAAGACCTTTTATGCCTTACTATACTATCACATTTTTATGACGTTTTATGCCTTACTATACTGTGACATTTTTCGAAATTTTTATGCCTTACTATACTATGACTTTTTATTCCTAACTATACTATGATGTTTTATGCCTTACTATACTATGATGTTTTATGCCTTACTATACTATGACGTTTTATGCCTTACTATACTATGAAATTTAATGCCTAACTATACTATGACGTTTTTAAGACATTTCTTGAAATTTTTATGCCTTACTATACTATGACTTATTTTTTTGAAATTTTTATGCCTTACTATACTATGACGTTTTTTGAAATTTTTATGCCTTACTATACTATGACGTTTTATGCCTTACTATACTATGACGTTTTCGAAATTTTTATGCCTTGCTATACCTATGACGTTTTATGCCTAACTATACTATGAAATTTCATGCCTAACTATACTATGACGTTTTTCGAAATTTTTATGCCTTACTATACTATGACGTTTTATGTTTTACGCCTTACTGTACTGTGACATTTTTCAAAATTTTTATGCCTTACTATACTATCACATTTTATGCCTCACTATACTATGAAATTTCATGCCTGACTATAATATGACTTTTTTTCGAAATTTTTATGCCTTACTATACTTTGACTTTTTTCCAAAATTTTTATGCCTTACTATACTATGACATTTTATGCCCTACTATACTATGAAATTTCATGCCTGACTATACTATGACGTTTTCGAAATTTTTATGCCTTGCTATACTATGAAATTTCATGCCTAACTATACTATGACGTTTTTTGAAATTTTTATGCCTTACTATACTATGACGTTTTATGCCTTACTATAATATGAAATTTCATGCCTAACTATACTATGACATTTTTAAGACCTTTTATGCTTTACTATACTATCACATTTTTATGACGTTTTATGCCTTACTATACTGTGACATTTTTCAACATTTTTATGCCTTACTATACTATGACTTTTTTTTCGAAATTTTTATGCCTTACTATACTATGACATTTTATGCCTTACTATACTATGAAATTTCATGCCTTACTGTACTATGACGTTTCATGACTAACCACCCATGACTATGACGTTTTATGCCTTACTATACTATGAAATTTCAGGCCTAACTATATTATGACATTTTTCAAAATTTTATGCCTTACTATACTATGACGTTTTATGCCTTACTATACTATGACGTTTTATGCCTTACTATACTATGACGTTTTATGCCTTACTATACTATGACGTTTTATGCCTTACTATACTATGACGTTTTATGCCTTACTATACTATGACGTTTTATGCCTTACTATACTATGACGTTTTATGCCTTACTATACTATGACGTTTTATGCCTTACTATACTATGACGTTTTATGCCTTACTATACTGTGATGTTTTTCGAAATTTTTATGCTTTACTATACTATCACGTTTTTATGACGTTTTATGCCTTACTATACTGTGATGTTTTTCGAAATTTTTATGCTTTACTATACTATCACGTTTTTATGACTTTTTATGCCTTACTATACTATGAAATTTCATGCCTAACTATATTATGACATTTTTCAA